GATTTCTCCTGGACCAGTCCATCGTGCATAGAGTTTGTTATTTGAATCTGGTATGAGTAAATAAACTTGTTCTCCGATTTTGAAATTTTTTGGTATTGATCTCCGATTAAAGTACTCAGCATATTTTTGTTGTTTATCACTTGCAATTAAATTGGCTTGTTCGGCTGCTTGTTTCTAACCTTATTTTTAAAAGTTGTAAGTAATCCACTGCCGATTCACTTAGATTAGGTGGTATAGGTATTTCTCCTGACCATGAAGACTTCAGTACTGCTAAAGGACCTCTTGGTTGTCTTCCATACATCAGCTGAAATGGTGAGACACCCGTGGTGCAGTTTGGTACTTCTCTGTATGCAAAGAGCAGGTATGGGATGTGCTTATCCCAATTCGAAGGATCAGTCCTGATGACATGATGTAACATTTGCTTGAAGGACTTGTTCCATCTTTCTACTAATCCATTTGAAGCACTGTAAGCAGGTGTAGAGGGGGTGAGAACCTAGTCTTTTCTGGAATTCTTTAGTTAATTTTGAAACGAAGTTACTTCCGTTGTCACTAGCTATTGTATTAGGGATTCCTGTTCTCATGAAAATCTCCAAAAGCGCGTCGCAAGTGGCTTTTGCTGTCAAGCTTCTCAGTGGAATGGCTTCTGGCCATCGGGAATGTTGATCTACCAGACATAACACATATTTATGTTTCCTAGCAGAGGAAGGTTCAATAGGTCCAATAATGTCGATGTTAACTGTTTCGAAAGGTAATCCTGGCCTTCTGACCGGTGTGATGGGAATCTTGTCAGATCGCTTTTCTGGACTTTTCAACTGACAATCTTTGCACGTTTTACAAAAGGTTTCAACATCTTGTGCTAATCCAGGCCAATAAAATGAATATCGTATTCGCTCCTTTGTTTTTCTTATCCCAAGATGTGCACCGAAAATGGAACTATGTGCTAATTCCAACACTTGTGCTCTTCTACTAAGTGGAAGCACTAACTGAAAAACATTCTGTCCTAATATTTTTTCTTGGTGATGTAAAAGATGATCAATAAATAAATAATTTCCTTTTTTTTTCTATTGCTAGCTTCCATGCTTCTCTCAGCGAGGGACAGTTAACTTGCTCTTCGCGTAGGCGTTCAGCAGACGATAAGTCTGTGTTTACATAAAACACTCGCCTTCTTCCCTTCCTCCTCTTCGTTTTTCTCCTCCATAAGCATTAGCGGGGGGGAATCGACGCTGTCGTTTGACTGTGCATTGGCGAATTTGTAAGTTTTCGCTTCCGTAATTATTTCTTTCTGCGTTTGGTTCTTCTGCCGCAGGATTAATCAACAGTTCGTATATTTCTGGAGTTATTAGGCAAGGCACATTTAGCTTATCAGTCACTGCAATTAATGTATCCACAAAATTAAATATATTGCTTCCATGATCTTTATGGTAAATAGGTACACGGCAAACTTTTGCTTCAATTGGTTGTCCGAAAGCAGGTGTTAGCAATATTTTACCTCCTTCTCTCTCCTCTAAATTTGGAATGAGCGATGAATGTACGATCGTTATCTGCGTTCCAGAGTCTACGATAGCTTCGATTTTCTCAGAGTTAATAAAAATATCTACTTTTTGCAGTGGTTGAACGATGCGTTCTGCGAATTCAGATCGTAGATGGGATGAGTCTACTTTAGCTACGATGGCTTCTTCTTTTGATGTTCTGTTTGAATTTTTTTGAGTTTTGGAATCATCCTTTCCCTTCTTATTTACTGCAGTTTCGTTCTTTCTTCTTTTGTCTGGGCAATCTCTCGCGATGTGTTGATAATTTCCACAAATATAACATTCTTTTCTTCTCGCGTGAAATCTTTCGTGTTTTGGATATTCTTTTCTCATGGGTGGTGGAATATATTTGTCGTGTGCACATGTTGTATCCAGGAATCTCGGTGATCGCTTAATTCCATTTCGAACTTCGTCGAAAGATTTTCCTTTGGCCGTGAAATAAATATCACATTCTGTAGCTAATTCTTGAGGCTTCAGCCATTTATTTCCTTGGCGTATTGCGACGTGTGCAGCTGTTTCTGCATCTAATGCTTGGAATAATTTATCGGAAATAATTAACTCCTTGAGTGTTTCGAAATCCTTTACTTCTCTTGACTTGCAGTAATAGTCCCATGTAGCTGTTAGTCTTGAAGCGAACTGGATATGCGTTTAGTTTTTCTGAAGTTTTCTAAACAGGTTTGAGGAGTAGGTTGATATTCCTTCAGAACAAGAGTTTTCACTTTTTCGTAATTTTGCAGATCTTCCTCCTTTATATAAACAAGAACATTTGAAGCTTTTTCTCCAATTAATTTCAATAATATTTCTGATTTGTATTCTTCAGGAACCTTCTTGTGCTTAAATGCTCTTTCGATAGAATCGAAAAATATATTCCATTCTTCTGCTCTCTTCGGTACTGGTATAGTCAGTGTGTTTCTACTCCTTTGATCAGCTTGTCCAGGGAAATTTCGGTTTCTCGTTCTGTGTTTTGGATTAAAGGTGTTGGACTTCTACTTCCTTCATTTTGAGTTGCTCGAATCTTCGCTAGTTCTATTTCGTGTTCTCTTTCTGTTCTTATTCTTTCTTCTTCCATTTGCATTCTTTCCATTTCTTCTTTTCTTTTTCTATTCTCCACTGTAGTAATCAGAATTTCTTTCACGAAATCAGCATCTTCGATGTATTCCTTGCTATTCTGGAGTTTGTGTTTCAGTTCTACCAGCTTCAAATCTGGGGATGCTTCTTCGCCAATTTCCAATAGAACTGTTACTAAATCCTCTTTCTTTGCGTTTTTGAACATTTTCTTCTATTTTCCTTTAGAATCAAGCCTTTCAAACTCTCGATTAAATAATTCTCACGTTTTTTACTCTCTTTTGCAAATGAACACTTCTTTCGTTAGTTAGGCTTAACTTTACGCCTCTTCCGTTTTCAACGCTCTAAGCTTCTAACCTCTCTGGTTTTCTCGTAAGAGAGCGTGTTGTGATGACTTCATGGTTTAATAAGGCACCATTTAGCAAGACGAAACAAACATTTATTAAATATATAATTCAAATAATAATATAATAGTTACTCAGAGCAGTACGTCGCTCCTACCGCATAGTACAATCTACTACCTTCCTCTTCCGAGGCTAACATGCAACTCCTAATAAATACATTAACCCTTCTCGAAGAAGAGCTACCTGCGCCAAGCATGCTCTGTTGATCGCCAAACAGTCGCCAGATATCACAGTCAACAAATGATTAATTATCATAATTGTAATGTAAGAAAATTAGTTGTTTCAACTTTTGTCCACTCAAACGGTTTCGCCGATCATTTAGTATTAATCCAGCTTCAGAGAACACCCTTTCACATGGCACTGAAGTAGCCACAAGGCCTAATTTTTTCCGTGATAATTCATACAAATTAGGAAATACATTTTTATTCTTTTCCCACAACTCCAGTGGATCAGATTTCCTGGAAAGAATGGGCTCTTGCAGGTATCTTTTTACTTTTGCTGCAGCTTTGTCGATCGCCGCGTCTGCTGCGGGAGCTGATGAAGTTCGAGAGTCTAAACTCGAACCAAACCAAACCAAACTTTACTCTCAAACTCGAACCAAACCAAACCAAACCGATGATTCGTCTATCTCTTCATCATCCTCTTCCACATCCTCAACAAGATTATGGAACTACTGATAACTCACAGATAATATCACTTTCAATTTTTTTGGCGACATCACATTTGAGCCCCAATTTTTTTATTCTGGGGTCAAGGAAAGCGGCTTGAGCAATGTCTTCTCTTGAATCGATAGTTGTAAATGTATTACCCAATTCACGTTGTAGTACTAGTACCACATTTTGTACTTGTTCATTAACACTTTTACTAAGCAGATTTTCACAGATTTTTTCAAGTCCGCCGATTAACACAGGCGCCATAGATGCTGACAAGTATTTTTCCGAACTTAACTCGCAAGTCACCTTTTCAAAAGGTTTCAAAACCTCACAAAGATGTTGGACACTTTCCCTTTCTGGCACATCAAGAGCCTCTGGGGGGTCGTTCATCAAATCCATTGTAGAACGAATAGCGTCTTTCAGTTCAAGGAAACATTTTACCATATAAAACGTGCTGTTCCAACAAGTCTTCACATCTAAGATGACTTTTAAATCTTTTCTCTCCTCGCTAGAGCACAGATATTTTCGCAAATTTTAGCAGCGATATTACTTCTCCTGTAAACTATCACAATATCCCTAATTTTCGTTAGAAGGTCGTTAACCTCGTTTAGAGAATTTGTGATAGCCAAATTGAGAGTGTGCAATGCATCCTAAATGTTTAAACTTTAGTTCGCTGTCGACAGCATTAATCATATTTTTGGCATTGTCAGTCACTATTAAAGACACTTTTTCCATCGGAAAATATGGTTGGCAAATGTGTATGATATTTTCTGCAATATTTTTGGCTGAATGACGTTCATCAAAAATTGAGCAGTCAATCAGTACCGTTTTCCTTTGCATGTGTTCGTCAATAAAATGGCCTGTCACGGCCATGTAACTTTCAGCCTTTTGGTTGCTCCAACAGTCTACAGTCAAACAGATATTTTGTACAGCACTAAGAAAGTTTTTTAAACTACAGTCAAAAGTCGTTAATCCGGACTCGTCGGGACTTCGGCGATTCCGGATTATAGATCATCAGTTTAAATCTGGTAAGATGGCATGCAGAAATTACAAAATTAAAAATATGAAACCGTAATTTATGAAATAAAGAACAATTATGATCTAAAGGGTATCAAAATTTACAAAAAGAAAAAGCTTAATATTTATTTGTTTACTTTATTAAACATAACCCTATCCTGATCACAAGATCTATGACTTAACATTCAAAGTAAATCATTATGCACAGTACATTTTAAAAAATGCATGTTTATTTATAGCACTGGAAAACAGAATTTCTGTTTGCGTACATTTTTTGAAAAGTAGTATCAACCAAAGCATAATACAATAAAATACTCATTTCCACTGCTTACCAAGCCAAGTGATGCTACAACAGTGTGCCATCTTTCTAAATCTTTCTTATACTGTTGCATTTCATGCTCGTACGCAACTTTTTGTTTAAAAGTTACATTTTCACCAGAAGGAGGTTGAGGTTCTTTTGGTTTTGCTTGTACTGAATGATGGAACCAGCTACTAAATGCATCCATTGCTTCCTATAAATAAAATAAATATAAACTACAGGTGCATTAATTATTTAGGTTTGATATTTATTCTTATGAAGTTAATCTAACACCCTGATAGAAAGATACTTAGAATCTCATAGAAAAACATTCATTCTTTTTTCATATGTAATCAAGAAAGTTTTATTACTGAATAAAAATAATAAAGAAAGTGAATTTAAATTAAAATGAAATATGTTTCTCAATTTAAATTTATACAGATACACATACAAAAATATCAGTAAGCAAAATAAACATAACTTGTATATTTACAGGCCAACTGAAATAATTTAAATTTATTATTTTTATTTTTAATTTATTTTAGGACTAATATGCAGCTGAGCTAAAACACATAGAAGAAATTATCTCTAATACATTCAAAAGTCTTTAATCCGGACTCGTCGGGACTTCGGCGATTCTGGATTTTCTGTTTTTCCGGATTATAGATCATCAATTTAAATCTGGTAAGATGGCATGCAGAAATTATAAAATTAAAAATATGAAACCATAATTTATGGAATAAAGAGCAGTTATGATCTAAAGAGTATCAAAATTTACAAAAAAAGGCTTAATATTTATTTATTTACTTTATTAAACATTTCTTTCAACACGCACATGGGTAAAGCATACATTACGCAAAGTCGAAATTAGAAAATTGCAACCAGAAAACTATTTGATGTGTATTCGTGATATTTATAATGACGAGGAATTTGATTTAAATCATATCAAAGACAGAGTACATTGAGATGAAATACTACATTTAGTAAGGAATTATAAGCTGAATAAAATAAAAACTGCCCTGAAGATAAGGATAGCGCTGACAGATCAACTTCCAGTTCATTGCGTGCCGCGACGCCCCTCCCTCCCGCCGCAGAGCACTGTGAAATTGATAAACAGATTTTGGAATGGTTAGAGAAACAAATCACCTCTCTGTCACTTTCTTCATGCCTTTATCCATTTTTTGCAGCAATTCCACTTTTTTGTTTGATGGACATAAAGTGCGTAATAATGAGTAAATAGTGTGCAGCTCTATTAAAGACTGTGGAATAAATTTTAATAATACCGTATGTCATGTGTCAAGACGTGAATTTTGGCCAAAACCCATCGGACATAACCTGTGACACCATTCGTCATCTATTGGATGGTATGGAAGTACTTTGTTTCATTTCTGTTTCGTATTATAGCCAGGAACATCGTGGATTACCATTATATGAAGTGAGTGATTTTCTCAATTTTATTAACTATGTTTCTAATTGATGTGTCAGGAATGGAAGATGTCCTGAAAAGTGAGAAAGCACATAATATAAAATTATTACACAAAATAATATTTAACGTTGTGGGGCAACGGAAATAATCGGAAAAGATTAAGACAATTTAGTGGTTTCTCTTTAGCTGAGACGCTACTTCTGTTTAAAACGAACATTAACAAAGCATTACTTTTTTAATTCTCGTAAATGCTAAATTTATGTAATAAGCATTTGTCTAATTAAAATGTCTTTCATTAATTAATTTGTTCATCATTTAATCCCCATATATATATATAGGGAGAGAGAAAATAAATTATTATTTTATTGTTTTGCAGCTTTACAGCAAGTATTAGGCAATTTATTACTTATAATTACCTTATGTATTTGTATATCTGAGAGCTTTCAGATTTTATATTATGCCCAAAGGGGTGTTTTTTCATTTACACACATATACATATTTTGAGAGCATTTGGGCTAATAATATTTAAAAAAGCCTATCTTTAGAATCACACTGGAGACAAAAATGTCCCCCCCCCATACAGTGTTGCCATTGCTCCCTTTGAAATTGGCGAGTAATCAAAAATTCTTTAAAGTTTTGCAAAATATGAAATACACAATAAAGCATATTTGAAATTCCAAATTCAGGCTTCCAGGTGCCTACATTTGGGTGGAAAACTATATTATTCAAAATTTGAGGGCTGTAGGTACTGTTGCTTTTTTGCAATGCAAAAAACATACATACACTCATGTAGATTTTTCATTATTTAATTTCTTTAAATATAATACAGGCCGATAATATTTGATGGCAACAATTTGAAAAGTGAAACGGACATTTATTGTGAACCGATGCAAAATGCCATTTCAGGACTACACATATGATACATTATAGAGTTAACCCTCCAAGTGGCCAAACTGTATATATGTGTTCAAAAATATTTGTTATGATAATTATAAGCATTCAAACATGCATCTTGAAATAATTAAGGTATTGGAAGAAAAGGAATCAAGGCACAAAGCAGGAGAGTCATTCTGGAATTATAATGAAGAAAACATGACTTACTCAAAGTGTTTTGGAACAATTTAAGAGTTCTGAGGCCAAACTTTGGCCACTTGGAGGGTGAAATTATAGCATTAATATTTTGAGGTATTAGAAAAACAATTATTTATCCAGCTGCTTATGATTTTAATGGATAAAATAAAATATATTTAACTATTTTCATGACAGTTTCATTGTATTTTTATTGCAAAAGACTTAATTTACTTACTAGATAAGCTTTGAAACACAAATACTCCCTAGTTGCATTATCATCATCATCAGATAATTCCTCAAGTCCTTTCTGTAACAAGAGAGCAAAAATCAGCAAGTTTCATACATTTTAAGAGATGGCTACAAAATACTAAAAAATAACTTCTCTTCACTTACAGCTTTTGAAAGTTGTACCATTACTCCAACAGAATCAGGTGGTACTTTGGAAAAAACTGCTTTAGCTGCTTCAATTTTACGTTGAACTGAAATAAAGCAGAACAGAATTTTTGTAATTTCTAAATATACATGTAAAATTTAATGCAATAAAGATTCACAATTGTCTTGCGAAGCACTTAAGCTCACTATTGAGCAAATCATTTCAAAAGAGCTTTTTAACACTTTGACTTAATTATATTAATTTATTTTATTCATAATTTTAAACATCACAAACTATGTAATGAATTATTACTTTAAAGAAGTTTATACAAAATTAAATAACAGAACAGATAGATGGATTCAAAAAATATTATATGCAATTAGTTAAATAATTTCATTAACTTACTATAACAAAAAGCGATAATTTTGAAAGCAGACAAAATACACACTTTTAGCAAAGCTGGTAATACATATGAATATGAAAAACCTTGAGGATATATCATTATGTGACAAACAATGAACATAAATTTTGATATAATAATAATAATTTGATGAAAATTAAATTACAACTCTAAAGTTTTTTTTATTTTATTACATAATGATATATTACATATTTATCAATTCATTTGCCACTTTTCACCATTTAATTTATTAAGAAATAAAAATTCTAATTTTTTTGCGACCGAATTGAAAAAGTCAGAAATATCGGTGATGAACTTTTGCCCCTTGATGAAACATAAGTGTAATTTTATTAAATTTTTTAGTTTTCACACTGCTTCTTCCTTTTTATTTTCACAGGTTGAACAGTTTTGTTGTACATATTCTATTTTGTCTTGTATTCTAGATTTAAAATTTTCTCTTCCACCTATTTTACTTTTATTCTTGTATTTAAACATTTTTACTGTTTTCATTTTTGCTTTCATACAATTCTATAAACATCAAACTGGCTGCAGGTGAAAAAAAAACACATTATTAAACATTTCCTTTTAGCTTAAATAAGCAAATCAAATTTTTATTAATTACTTTATATTACTGCAGTTTCATGCATGTCTTGAAGTCATGCCATAAGATAGATTTTGCTTTCTGTTTTGTTTTCATATATACAGGGTGATTTAAAAAATGGTAAAAATGTGAATGCAGATCAAAATAAGCAGATTTTATAATGGAATGTGTATGCAGAAATGGCACATTAAAGTAATACAGGAAACTTGAGCAAAATGCATTGCTACATTAATGCAGAACTCACTGATATGTATTTTATGAGGCTGTGACTAAAACAGAGTAACTACTCAAAGGAGACACAAAGAATGATTCCCAAGTACCATTTTTTGAGCAGCTATTACATTTCCACAAATAAAATGCACGTTGGTCTAGCTCACATTTGTGTAGCAATGCATATCGATGATATATGTTAGATAAACATATGTAACTATAAATTATACTTTAAAACAATAACACATTCTATAAAGACAACATTTTATTTTGTTATGATCTGACCTGAGAACTGAGAACTGACGAAAACTGTTAGTGTAAAATATTTGAAAAGAGAAGCATTGTAAAGGGTGGATGAGGCGCATTTTTCTTTAACACGTTCCACACGTCCCACGCTAAACTTTCTGTTCAAGCCATTTGGTATTGTCATTGTAAAATGAAGAATTTTTAAAAATTCATTATGCAGTCAATTATGGGCATCTTAATAGTACTGCTGATGCCCTCATTTAATCGTGGGGTGATGGGGAATTTTTTTTCTCCGTAACTTGTTTCAACTGCTTTCCTCGTATTTCGATCAGTCATTTATTTGAGTGTCGTTGATACACTACTTACTGCTTCACTGAAGCTGGGATTGATTTATAGTTCAGTGTGTTTCTTTAGTGTGTTAGACGAAGGAAATATGGTACGTACATATTATTTCAGTGTTATAAATTCAGATATTTTGCATTTAAAAATGGTTGCAATTTTTCCTGCCTTTTCTTCTTCAGACCTTTTCCAAATTTTACAATAATTACTCCTTATAAGCAGATAAGGCAAAACACAGCAACAGTTTTTCTAGTGATGATTCTGACGACGACGAAGGCCACTTTAATTCGATAAGACGATGCTGTAAAATTTGTTAAGAAAGAAATGTTCAAAATTTGGGTTTCCCATTGGCAAGAAACTGTTACTGTAAAGTTGCAACATTCTGCAATAGTTGTGTGGATAAACCACACTTATGTTTGCCATGTTTTATTAAAGTTCATCGTAACATCCCTTTGTAATTGCATACAAACTTGAATTTAATTAAAATGTTATATTTAAAACTGATATACGTACGATAAAAAAAATTATACGTGAGGATGCAACTTGCTTGGCATAGTAATGTTCAGCTAAGTATTTGTTAAACTAATTCCTAGAAAAATATATTTATTGGTTTGTTGTGTTATGCATGTTAAACTATACAACCTTTCCTTGATAATTATGATTTTTGCACTATTTTAATTACTGAAGGCATACGCCAGAAACAAAATAATACAAATGTAAAGCATGCCCCACGCGGCCTGAACGGGAAGTCTTAAAAAAACGTTCTGGCAGGGAACATGTTAATTAGGAACGTAAACTTTAAGAACTGCCTTCACTAGGCTGACGAAAATCCACACGATATATCACCAGCGCCTTTACATGAAGCTAAAGTGAATGTGTGGTATGGCATCACAAGCACAATCATTTTCAATCCATACTTCTTCAAAGAGTTACTTTTACAGGTATGAAAATGTGCTCCATCACAAGTACTGGGTAAACAACAATGTGGCAGAATTATGTAATTCCAGAACTGCAACTGCAGCAAAAAAAAAAAAAAAAAAAAAAAAACTCAGTGTTGTAACAGCCCTAGTGGGCCAATGACTGCAGTGCCCCGAAATCTGCTTTCTTGACCGTCGGCCCTGGGATGTGTAAACATATGCCCTGAACAAGTGGTCAGCTTGTCGCAGGACCCCCAGTGTTTAGTCCCCAAGCAAACTTGGTACTCATTTCATCGAATCAAGGGAATGTTGTTAATAATATTGTATGGATACATCATGGTGCTTCTCCACATGTTGCCAAATGTATTTGATAAGTACAGCCTCCGCAGTTTGCAGATAGTCATCTCCCATAACTTTACAGTTTTGTAGCCACCACGATTCTCTGACCTTACTCTGATACATTTCTGATTCTGGGGTTATCTGAAATCTAAGGTGTACATAATCCAAGAGACCTTTCAGAACTGAAAGATGCCATAAAATGTGAAGTTAAAGACTTCCTGCAATGTTGCATTTGTCATTCTTGTCAACAATCTACTGCATGGAATGTGTTATTGTTTGCAAAGGTGGACACATTGAAAACTTGTAATTTCAATAAGATTATTTTCCCTATCCTTTCTTGAATTGCCTTTATAATGGTCTTTTTTGCAAATACTTTACACCGTCAATTTTTGTCATATGTGTGTCGTTCCAACGCCATTTTTTAATGTGCTGATCAATTTGTGCAAGAAAAAAGTGGGTGCTACCATTCAAAAATTTCAAAATTTTAATTGTAACCATGAGAGCTCTATTGTTTTAAACCTTAACAATCTTGAGCATATATATTCAAGTGATCTGAAATTTCATTTTGATTAGTTCAGCAGATGAACCACTAGTGGTTTATTTTCTGACTGCCTTGTATATCATCATAAAATATAGCAGTGGTGTTCATCAGCTTTTTTTTTTTTTTTTCCTGCTTTCCCTTTTATTTTATTCTTTTTTTAATCCTCGAGTACGGCTGGTGAGTATTCAGAGGGGTTAGGGAAATGTTTCAGCCATATATATACCTATATATACACTCTCTTGCAAAAAAAGTCGAAGCACCAAGAAGGACTTTTGCGATCGTGACGAAATTTGGTATGCAAAAACATCTTGATTGAGCATGCAAATGATCAAAGTTACAAGGAAAATGAACAGGAATTGTGATCATAGCGCACATTTTTGCAATATAAAACCAGTAACAGTGGCGGAAAATTTATCTTTTTTTGTTGCTGCCATTGTAATTCTGTAAAGAAGTAACTAAAGATGCCATTACCACGTTATTGAAGACATTACAGACAACTAAATAACATTGAGTGTGGTTGCATTGTAGGGTTGTGTGAAGCTGGGTGGTCACACCAAGCAATAAGCCGCCACCTGAAACGTACAGACCCTGCTGTGCAAAGATGTTGGCAGCAATGATTGCTACAAGTAAACTGCCAACGAAATGAAGGCTCTGGAAGGCTAGCAGCACAAATGCGAAGCAAGAAAGGATGATTGTTCACCAAGCCCGAACCGCCCCAACAGTATCATTGTCGACTATTCAACGCACTACAGCCACGTCTATATCTCCCATGGTACTGCCCACCATCTCACAGCACTTGTCTGAGGTGGGGTTACGCTTACAGAGGCCTTTAAGACATTTGCCTTTGACCCCACAACATCGGCACAGTCACCTGGAGTGGTGTCGCAGCCAATCATCATGGCATCACATTGGCATCGTATAGTGTTCAGCGATGCATTTCACTTCAGTCTTGAAGCAAATGGCCACCATAATCGTGTCTGGAGAGGACGGGGCCAGCGTTCCCAATCAGCCTTTGTTTTACAACAGCATATAGCCATAACCCCTGGTTTGATGGTGTGTGGCACTATTTCTTATGAGTGCAGGTCATTTTTAGTCATCCTCCATACATCTTTAAAAGATCAACGATATGTTGATACCATCCCGAGGCCGGTTGCATTACCCTTCATGGCACGTCATCCTGGGGCCATTTTCCAACAACATAATGCAAAGCCACATATCGCTGGCATATCTATGGACTACTCAAACGACAGGGAGGCTCCCGACCTAGCTTCAAATGGCCATACGGAATTGAGTGCCAACCCCGTGCATCTTATCAATCTACCATGTGGCAACCCCACAGAGCAAGGGCAGGCAAGGCAGTACCTGTACGGTCCCTGCCGAGCCTTACTCTGTCCTGAGAGCCCTCAGGCCTTCTGTAAAGTCTGTTAGAAAACCCCCATGGTTGAGACTGCCTAGTACTGCCCAGGCGTACGCCCGAGTCAACCCCCGGGGGGAAGCATATCTCTGGACTGTCTCCGTGCAGTTGATACTACTCTTTCTTGGCCAGCAAGGTCACCAGACCTTTCACCAATTTGAGCATGTTTGGGACATGGTAGGCCACTAGATTCGGGCAGCACAAAATATCACAGATATGGAGTGACAATTGCTGAATGCATGGCATAATGTGTTGCAGGATGACATTAGGAACCTCTAACACTCCTTGAATCGATGAATTCAAGGATGCATTGCTGACAGGGGCGGTTCAAAGAACTACTAATTTGAATACTCAATGGGTGATTGTGAGGCATGAACAGGTGCTATGACCTTCATTTTTTAATCATTTTATTATCTTATGTATGAGCTATACACATATTCAATTTCATCAAAAACATCCACTCCCTTCATGGTGCTTCGATTTTTTTTTTGCAAAAGAGCGTGTATATATAGAGAGAGAGACTGGGTAAAAGACATAAGCTCGGTGAGTCTGAAACTGAAGAATCAGGCTTTACTGTTATGGAAAATATATTCATGATATTCTAGCAATGTTAAAGTAGACATATTAAATCATAAATGATATTATTGCAAAGAAGGAAATTTTCAGAAATTATATATGTTCAAACATCACCAGACTAACCACATAATTTGATACACAGATGATATGAAATGCTTCAGAGAATGCAAAACAAAATAGTTTGTGTAAAAATTCCTTAATGCTCCTCAATGTAACATCAGCACAATAGTTAACTCCCAGCTGCCAGTGAGTGTGTTAAAAGATAATCTACCTATTTATAATTAACATCTTGAATACTCCTGCTAAAAATCTGGAATATTAAAATGACATATTTTCCTAATATATTTTCATCATTAAAAAATCTGATGTGTACACCACATGACTTCCTTGTACGGAATATTAAATTATACGCATTTTTTCTTGCATTTTATTTAAACTTATTAGATTGAATTAAACCTACTTCACCGACAGTGCATAAACCACAATAGAATAAATGCATTCTTTAAAATTCACTTTGTTTCCCATAGAGACACTCTGGCGCTAGGTTTACTTAGTATTATATTTCATTCATATTATAACTCAGAATGCACAAAATGTATATTTATCACAAAATGTATTTTATATATATGCACAAATGTATATCATTTAAAGAATTATCTAATCATTGCCACATGTTCTATTCAAATACTATAATAAAGCTAGAACTATGTATAAAAGAAATTAAGCAAACAAAACAAAACAGAAACAGTTTTTCACAGACGATTGAGTATTTCTCATTTAATTAATTCAATTCTCACTTCGCAAGAAGGCAAAAATACATAAAAATTCAAAATATCTATATTAAAAATTACGAAGTAAATCTCAAACACTTATTTCCTCGAAAAAATTCCAGAAAGATTTAAGCATGGTTTAATTGGCAATAATAAATGAATGCATTATCTTTGTTGTTGCGAAGCTAAGTTTCTCTAGATTGGCAACAAATCCACTAGTCTCCTGTTTCAAATGTAAACATCAATGGCTGCCATTAAAAACAGGCTTAGCGGCAATTAAACAACTTTAAAATTGCTGATAATTCTAAAAATATTGCACACAGATTTACTAAAGGCATAAAATCCTTAACCGGAAGATAAAAACAACATAATTCAATCATTTTTAAAGCAAAAATGTACAATTTACAAACATATAAGAGTAAAGAAACTGAGATCACTGAGCCGGGTAATAGAGTGGATATATATATAAATATATTTATATACGTTTGGTGCGGCCGATTGCAACCAAAATACGAGGTTTTTTAGTTATGCGAGATACGTACGTACGTACGCAAGAACGTACATACGTTCGTACAGATGCCACGAAAAATTCTCTTCAGAATTAATTTTAAAGCAGTTTTATAATTTTTTGTTAAGGAAAAGAGTATTTTATTTTGTCCTTATGTACAGATATGATGCAAAAACATCGTTAAATTGCATTCGATAGCGGTCAAAATGGATATTTTCGTTCAAATATGCTGCCTGAAACTTTTCGCGATTACAATACTTCCTTTTTACTTCTTTTCCTTTTTACTTCGTACAAGGAAGTAAAAACAAATGACAAACTTATGTTGTTCACAAAGAACATACACTTGAAGATGTCATAATGCCTTTTAATAATAATAGTTCAACCTCCAAATACTTCTAAATACAGCGTTGTTGATCAAACAGCTCTCTAACATATGTCCCTGAAAACAGGCAACCAGAAAAGGCTTGTTTCAAAAAAGTGTGGTGCATTCAGAGAGTCAGATGAAATAAAATACAGTCAGACTGTTGAGGAGATATGCAACTTCAAAGACCCACTTCTGGCTAGGCAAATGAATTACACAGCTCATTTCTGGGTGAAAAAAGGAAAGGCTAACATGATGCATTCACAGAGACTTCCGAGTCTCGCATGATGGTATCACACAAGTAGTATTTATACTGCCAACCACTGATATCAAATGTGAATGGCACTAGATTATGGACTGTTTGACACATTCCAAAATGCCTGGTATAATGCAATTGGTTTCAAAGACTGACTAAAAAGCACAAAATCTCTGTAATGCTCAAGATCTGTTTGTACTTTGTATGTAACAGCTGATTGTACTTCATTTTTTAAAATGCTTTAAAATTTGGAAACAGAAAATCAATAAATTTACACCAACCCATAAGTACAGCAACTAGATAAGCTAGCATAAAATGAAATTTTAAAAGATATTACAAAAGCACAAGTATTATCTTTTACCTTATGTCACCATTATTTAAATAACAGTAAAATTCTTGCTTAAAATTTTTGAGAGGAAAATGGGTTTTTGAATCAGAACCAATTTTTAAGTAATATCCAAGAGACATAAGGACTGTTTTAGTTTGTCTAGTTTAGCTCATGATATTACATTTTAAGATTACAAAGCATTACAATTTATTATCAGAGAATTTGCTGTCAAAAACTTTAAAAATATGAAAATAATATCAGTTATATCTTACTTAAACTGTTATTAATACAGGCTTATCAAATGCTAATTTGAAATTGTGTTTAATGTTCACAGAAAATGCAGATATTAATCATATTTTGCTGCATTAACTTATAAAGTTTAAATATACAGCTCTTACCAATGAAAATTCTCATTAGGGCATTTGCTTGTTTCACAGCTTCAGCTCTCTGAGTTGGATCAAATATTAGCCAGTCAATAGAATTGATTTTTTGTAGATCTTCCTAATCAAAAGAAGAAAAAAAAAAAAAAAAAAAAAGAGTTTGAGCACATACATGCTAATAAAATTCAAATGAAGGAATAATTTAACATCTGAACTGATATTCCATTAGAAATTATTTATTTCCATACCAAACATAAAAAATAACTATTATATTTCTTCTGCAAAAAGAAGCTAAAATTAAGCATTCCCATTTTTTTAAATTAGTTTTTCTTCAACTACACATTACAGAAAATTTCATTCAACATGATAAGACTGAACTAAATTTTACAAAATTTAAAGTAAAAAATATTTATTTAAGTAAAATAAAATGACAAATTGAACTGCCTTTATTCTTCTTATCAATAAGAGCAATTCTTTGACTGACAAATCATGAAATAATTTCAAACAATATTTCAAAATCTAACATTATATACATACAAGAAAATATTTAACTGCACAGAGATAAAAATTAAGCATGTAATGATTTTATGCAGTTATTAAATGAAAATAAACTAATGAAAAGACACTTTTCACTACTTTTTCATTTTTACTACATACTTTTAAAAGAGGAAGAAATAATTTATGTAAATTGATTACAGAAGAAAATTTTGAAAAATCTTACTTTTAAATATTACGGTTACCAAAATACATTGCTGTGTCAAGTCACAAATAAAAATAAAATAAACTGAAGCAGAAAATGCATCCAATTAAAATAAACTGCATAAGTTAAGAAGAGTTATTATTTAGTAGTAACCAGAGTTTAACCTTTTTTAGAAAAAAGTTATCTAAAGATATTTGTTTTTTCCTACATTTCAAAATTTGGTGAAAATGAGACACAGAAATTATTGTTAAATAAATCTGTAGTGTACATAGCTATTGCCTTAATGCTTTTCAATATACAATGCAACAGATACTGATGCTGTATGAAACAGTTATATAAATATATGTAATAATTTTAAAATGCGTAGATGAAAACAGTGGAACTTTTAACAGCTTGTGATACTGCGTAGATGACCGAGACCGTAGTGGCTTGAAGGTGGCAGAGTAGTAAAAGCATGATGACGCAATTTAGCACAATGTATCTTGAAAATTCACAATCTTTATTTTTTTATGCATATTAAATCATCCTGTTTTCAGACAAGATGTTTCCTAATTATATTTGAATACAGAATTTGCATTTTGAAGTAGGATGTTATCTTAAGCACATAAGCGGAAGCAGCATGGATGAAAAGCAACTTGTCAACAGCAGAGCTTATGCGAGAAAAGGGGGAGAGTTATAGTACTTTCAGAGAAGGTTGGGAGTGATGAAAGTTTCAGTTCATAGTTTTGGTTTACAATTAATTTGATTGGACAAGAGGCATCTGCAAAAATTTTGAAGTACGACGTTGTTTTAAGCAAGTAAGTGGCAGCAGCATGGATGAAAAGCAATGTGTCAACAGCAGATCTTATGCGAGAAAAGGGAACCAGTTATAGTACTTTCAGATGAAGAAGGTCGGGAGTGGGAAAGTTTTAGTTCAGAGTTTTGGTTTACAATTAATTTGATTGGCATCTGCATTAAAACGTTAATACAAAAGAGGCATCTGCATTAAAACGTTACATAAGATAGGAAAATCTGGAACCTGTGAGAAGAGATTAATTTAGGGGCAGATCACCAATTTTAGAATGTTAATTTTGAGGTTGCCAATTATTTTTTTTAAACAGCTATCATATTTTTGTTATATCTTATATATATACACATATATAGAAGGAGATAGATAACTTTTTTCTCAAATCTTACCGTATTTGACGGCATATAAGACGCACCCTTATTTAGAAAGCCACACACAAGGAAAAAATGTTCAATAGTCCGCGTGACAGCGCGGTACCACAATAACTTAAAATCTGGTTTCTTTTAGTTCCCACGTTTCGTAAAAGCCAAATAAACAATCATTGAATGCAATTACCAAACATATTTTTATTAAGGAAAATTAACAAACGGCAAGAACATGATATGTAAATTTCAATAATGAATAAATGAATGCACGGCAAGCAATCAATCAATTATTATTCATAATACAAAATAAAGCAGAAACAACAAAAAACACAGATTCAAAGAAAACGTTTCCTGTCATGAAATTAGACTTTAATCACTTTCAAAACCATAAAAATTATTTTCACTATCATCATCATCGAAAACGAGAATATCGTCACCACTACTGTTTCCGTCATCGCTAGTATCACCTTCTGTTTCATCAAGAGCATTACTGATTCCGCACTTCTTAAAGGACTTAACAATTACTTCAGCCTTTACGTCCTCCCAAGATCTTTTTACCCACTCGCAGTCCACCAGGAATGACAGCTATCTGGGTTTTTCATTCTCTCCGCTTTATTCTTTATGGTTTCAGTTGTATGGGCGCTAAATTGATCCAAAACCAAAAGAGAGGGTTTTCTTAAGAGTCCACCAGGTCGCCTCGCCCATACGTTCTGTAACCACAGTTTTATTCCAGCTTCATCCATCCAGCCTTTTGGATGAACATGAACAATTACACCCGTTGGAAGTTTTTCTTTTGAATATGAAAAACAACGGTAGTTTTGTGCCATCAGCACAACATGTTATAACTACTGTATATCGGGGTTTTTCATGACCTGCGGTATTTATGGTTATTGATTTAGACCTTTTAATACTCACAGTCTTGTTGGATGGTACATCAAATGTGAGTGGAATTTCATCCATATTTCCTATTTGACCAAGCTCAAAAGAAGTTTTCTTGCAGGCATTTATAACAAACCTATGAAATGCTAGTATTTTTCTTCATAATCTGCTGGCATTTTCTGTGCAATAGTTGTTTTTGTGCGCATTGATAAGCCTTGCCTTTTCATGAACCTGTAGCACCAGCCCTCAGAACCTGAAAAATTCTGATTCCCATGTTTTTCTGCAAATCATTTGGCCTCATTGATTATCTTTTTGGTTGAAACACTTATCCCAAATTTCCTCTTATCTATCACCCACACACCCATTTTTTACGCCATTTCATGTTCAAGTTCAGGCCATGGAGCTGGGCATCGAAGATTATGTTTTTGTTTTTTAGCAGTCTTCAGCTGATCTTCCTACAGTCGCCAAGTACGTATAATTTTTTTGGTAGGTGGCGGACTGAAATGCCTTGCTGCTGCTTTGTTTCCATGGACTTTGGCGTAGTTTAACACTCCTAGTTTATACTGAATTGTATAGCTTCATCTCTTGTTTCCTGTAGTTATATTTGCCAGGGTATTTTTTTTTAAACAAATAGTTTTAAGCACCGATACTGACACGTTTATAGAGAGTAGCACCGATACCAACACATGTGTCGGCTGAGTCAAAGAAAGTATGTAAAGAAGGAAAGGTTCCATAGACGTAATGTGTTCGTCGAACCTGTTCGAACTTCGACATCAGCTTCGAGCTTTGGCGCTTTCTGGCGACAGATATTTCACGCATGTGCAAAATAATTATGGCAGATGTAGAAAAAGTTATGTGTGTCTAGACTTTTATCCGGGCTAAAAATAGCATTCAGTATTGAAAGTTAACCTGTGTCCTTCACGTATAAGACGCAGGTAACTTTTTTGAGACCAAATTTAGGAGAAAAAGTACGTCTTATATGCCGTCAAATATGGTAATTGTTTTCATATGACAGTGAAGGTAAATCAAGAATTCATGTTTTATAAGGTAGCAGCTAATTACATTTTCCATTACATACCAACATACCTATTTTAACTATAAAAGGGTTTTTTTTTTTTTTTAAACCCAAATCATAAACATATATTATGCACATGTAAACATTTACCTTCATGTCTTTTACAGAATTATACATAAGATTACCTAGAAAACATTCATGTATTTAGGAAAAATAATATGATTTCATAAATGTGTTTTATGCAAATTTTCAACATGCATGGATTTTATGGGCATATAAAAAAAAATCCAGTCATTGTGATAGTACTAAAACATGAATAATTTTAGAAATTCAATGTTAAAAGTAATCCTTACAGCTGTCGTCAAGACTGAAAGGTCTGTAAATGTTTCAGTTCTGTCAGATTCTTTTTCTCGTATATTTCTTACGACAGTTTTAGTGATTTCAGGAACATCAAGCCCAGCATCTTCTGCATACTGTAAACACTTCTGACGCTCAGCATTATCTGTTACACCTATTGAAAGAGGGGGAAAAAATCTGAAAACTTTCAGATTTTATATTACGCTCAAAGCGGCGTTTATTTTTCATTTACACATACATTCACATTTTGACAGCCATTTCGAAAGCATTTGGGGTAACAGACCTTTGGACAAAAAATGATTAAAAACAGCATATCTTTAGAATTGCCGATAGACAATCTCACGCACTGGAGATATAAATACACATACAGATTCTTCATAATTTCATTTCATTAAATATAATGCAGGGCAATAATATTTGGTGACAACAATTTAAAAAGTGATTCAACACTATTAGTAATTTGATGCAAAATATAATTTTGAGACTAACAGCCCTTTTGGGCTAAAATGGATAATTTAACGAATAACTTTCAAATGGCTTATTTTAAAACATATACAAATGCAAAATAATAATAATAATAATAATAATAATAATGAAATAAGTAATTAAAAGAAATCTTAAAGTTTTATTTACATATAATTTTATGTGGCTTGGTCAAGCAAAAGAATTCTACAATATACATAGCTTTTAATGAAATAACTTTCAATTCTGTGAGGCATGGTCAAGTACGTTAACTTTAATGCATTAATAAAACTTTTTTAATTAATGCATTTACAAATGATTATGTTTGGGATGATAGTAAGTGCATTCATTATACATTTAAAAAAAAATTTAATTTCATGAATTAATTCAATTTTTTTAAATGCAATTTATATTACACATAAAACATACATTGATTTAGATGATGCAATTTACTGTACATATTTACCAGCAGCTGAACTATATGTAATTTGTGCAAAATGTCCTATAATTTAGACTTTATATCATTTGACATTAAAATTCTGTTTTGCCTGTAGAAAAGTGGAAAATTGATACCATTTTAGCTTTCCCAGTTATCTTTTTTTGCATGCTTTATATTGTAGATAATGAACAAATAGCATAGCTATCAATTTCAAAATAACCTGGTATTTCCCAGACATTTTCGAGCTGTGTGGTGATGCTTTTTCAAAAGGATTCCAAACTGACTTAAATTCACTTTATAATGCAAAGAATCACATGAATAAACTAGTTATAAAATGCTTGATGTAAAATATATTAATATTTAATTAGGTGATGTTCTAAATTGTAGGCCCTTTAGCTAATTTTATTTTGTAATTTTCTTACACTTTTATGCCTAGGAAAATCCTGAGTAGGGAAGAAAAATTTTTATTTATCAAGGCATTTCTATATACTATGAAAATAAAACTACTAATTAATGTACATACTATTGTGGACAAACTTAGTAACGTAATATATATTGATGTAAAACAAAACTAAATACAAATATTGACTGAATAAACATAGTTCCACAAATGTCTACACTAGATTATGACAATTCAGATCGAATAAAATTTAAGATGAAAATTTATGCCGATTGTCACTAGAGGTGGAGGAATGAAATCTGCACAATTTTTAATCTCATTAATTACTAATTTTTTCTTTTATTCCTCAGCAGCATTTTCCTTAATGAAAACTAAAAATTAGAAACCCACAGAATCTACCGGGAGATGTCATGAAAAATTGTAAAATTGGCAGCTATAAAATGGATTTAACAATCTTAGCACTAATTGCATAGTAAGTGACCAACACAAAAACATGATACAGTTAACCCTCACCTGACGACCACCTCTGAAAGGAACCATTATTTTTGAAAATATGAATAAATAATGGTACTGAAGACTACTTCATCTAAGACAATTACCTTCAAAAGAAGACCAAAATCAATTGGAATCAAAGATGGTTATTTTAGAGAGAGCTTACTGTATTTTGTTCCTCACAAACTATTAAACTACTTATATTACAAAACTTTTTTTTTTTTTTTTTTTTTTTAAATGTTAAAACTGTACAGATGCAATGTAAAAAAAAAGTATGAGAAAACGGAAAAAAACAAAAAAAAAAAAAAAAAACGGAAAAAAAAAAAAAAAAAAACCAACCTTCCAAAAACTTTGCATACCACATTATTTGCTGCTGTTTAGGAAGTGTTGATGTATAAGGTGCCACAAGAGAAACTTTGCGAGATTTTATCAATTCCTGGCGAAAATATATATATAAGCTTTAATTAAAGTTATTAAAAAATACAAAATACAGCAGAAGGTAATAACATAATATAAGTTCTGAAAGTTGCAAATAAGATTACAATAATAAAGTACCTAATTTCAGATACATCATAACAATTTATAAAAAAATACGACTGAATCTCTTTTAAGCTACAGGTATGGGAATTTTTAGAGCTTATTTGTGATGCCAATTGTAGAAATCACAGCATGTGAAATCTGTTAGTTGGGTTTTTCCATCTATCAGCCATGATTAAACATATAAAATCTAAAATCACACAGATTGTTTGAAATTAAAACACAATTTAACATTAAGCATTTTAAAATTATCATATTTATTATTACAAATTTATTAGCAGGATGGCATAAAATTTTGTATGTCTGCCTGCTTACAAGATTGTCATCATAATTTTTAAAATGCACATATATATGCACAGCAAGCACAATTTTCTTGCTCTGCATGTTATCTTTATGTTCACCCTTTTCATCTTCCTTCTTTCCCAGCACATGTCCAATTATTCTGCCATCATCTTGAGAGTGTGAAATGGGAACAGAATTATCTAATCCATCATAGTGTGTACCTTCTTTTCACTAACACTAATCTTCTACGAACATGCAAATAAATTCAAAATGTCAGACACAGGTACCAGACAGGTCTTAAAACCAAGAAAATCTTTGCCACAAACATAGGCCAAAATTAACACTAACAGTGACATAAAGTAATGTTCTTTACATCTTTTCAGGCAAAGCAAATATGACATTTTTTGATGTTAATTGTTTCTGAAAGTCACAGACACTGCCATCAAAGTTCACACTGATATAAAAAGGGATTGGCAGTTTATCTTTATAGTCTGGATAATTCATTGGTTGGATAAGGCTTGTTACACTGGATGGCATTAGCATAACACAAATGTTTTCTAGATTTAATTATTTAATCATTAATACACTACATACATTTTTTATTTGATAGATCCAATTTCGGTTTTAAATATAAACTTTCAGAAATGCCAATATTTTGATATTGTCGATTATAAGAAATTTTACTATGCCAAAATTTTGCCTCAAAATAATTAGCGATGGAAACATAGCTACATGTCTACTGAAATGAAATATAAGAGAATTGGTGACAATCTTTCTAGATTTTTAATCAAAATAAGAAAATATAATAAAAGCTGATTTAATAAATATTATCAAAACTCTTGGAAATTCAGTTTTTATTATTACAAGCACAACTCTTGATTATTTCAGCTAATTAATTGCATAGCTATGCATGGTTAACTAGCAAACATGGATATCATATTAAAAAAAATCAATGTTTTTAAATTAATGACAAGCAGGACAAACAACATACACAGAAGAAATACAACAAAATTTTTAATAAATGAAATAAAAGGGAACAAGAACAAGTTAAAAAAAAATGTATACACAAATCAAAAATAAGTATTGAAAAATATATGAGCACGTGGAAATCTCTCTTAAACACACATGTTGCTTTGATATCAGATTTCATTTTTAATTCTACGATGATAAAATTACAAAATATATTGGGGGCACAAATAAATCTCCGCCATTTTTCATAAAAAATTGGGCATTTATTGTGAAAGAACACTACGTTATGTTTTATTCAAAGCATTGTCCATCCTAGCCACTACTTTTCCCCACCTTTCTGCCAGCATACAGATATTGCATCAGAAGAATGCTTCATTTTTCGAGGCTATCCACAAATCAGCCCAATTTTTGGTATCTTCAATATGATGTCAACCACTAATCAGACAGAAGATGCATCATCAACTGAAACAAGTAGTAGTCCAGAGGAACAATGTATGGTGAATAGAGCAGGAGGATAAAAACTTCTCATTTCAATGATTTGGAGTAGGTTTTGACAGGTGCCACAACATATGGATGAACGTTATCAGGCAGGAGAATAATTCCATTATGTCTGGAGTAGTAGTGGGCACATTTTTCTCTGAGTGCTCAAATCAGTCTCATCAACTGTATTCAGTAGGTAGCCCCAGTAATGGTCTGAGCAATTCAAAATACTATTACAAGTTGTTCCCACCTTATACACAACACGATTTTCTTTCCATGAATATTCGCCTTGGCTCTCTTGATATCCATTTTTCATCACCAGTGACTATACGATACAAAAAAAAAACCTTTCATTTATGCCTGGTAAGCGTATTTTATGTGTAAAAAATATGATACGAATCTTAATTCTTAATCCAATATGCTTTCAATTCTGTGTCTTCGCAAACTTTCATGCTTCCACTACATTCTTCGTATCAAACTCACCATTATTAATTTTTTTAAACCACTCACGACAACTTACCTTACTTAAGGCAGCCTCACCTCATTGCTTCTACAAGCAATACCACAGCTGCAGATTTCTTCAAAACTTGACATTTAAAAAAAAAAAAAAAAAAAAAAAAAAAAAACCATGATGCTGATATAAAACAGCTAGTATTTCAAGATTATATTGTTAGCAGATGTTTAACCTTATGATATGATATTTTACATCAGACACTTTTAACCATAACTTACTGGTGGCACTATTTTTTGTCAAACAGTGGAGACTTATTTGTACTCTCAATATTCTTGGCTACATAACTAGAGATGGACATTCAATCATAAATTGATTCAAAGAACCAATTCACTTTACTGAGTGAGCAAATGCTGATCTGATAAAATGCACCAGTAGCTCCTTTACAGCTCACCCACTAAGAGTTCATGTTAGAAGCATGCCAAGAAAGTTTGACTATCACTTCCCAACTATTTTAACATTTTTATACTCCAAAATTTTATTGTTAGTTTGATGTAGAAAAGAGGTTTTAAGGAATCTCAAAACTACAGTGAATGAAGTTCAAATTGGGTTCAGTCAGCTAACCCAATTTAAAACCAGTTAAGGGGGTGTTAACAGTTCAAATGAGTCAACTCTCCTGATACGTCTCACTCAATTCCCCCCCCCCCATTCTTTGCTCCATCCTCACACACCACTTTTGATCTTATCCATCAAGATTACTTCTAGAGAGTGACAAGTCCTATAAAAGAACCAATTCAATTCAGTGAGTGAACAGTTCTGATCTGATCCCATAAAAGAGCAGTTTTTTCCACATCTATAAATTATACCAAAAGAGCCTTTTCAAAAAATGCAATAGTCTGCAGCAGCATATTTTAGAGTGAGTAACAATCTAGAAGATACTTTAATAATTGAAAACTGCAGCCTTCCAGAACAGCACTATACAATAATTTAAATAGATTCGATATACATGCACATATTTAAATCTATGGCAAATTCTTAACTATAAATTTGTTATTAATTACATAGTTTATAATAAAAGCAATTTTTACTTGAACATATGCTTCTAAAATAGGAATACACAATTCCTCCTTCGTAGATTTTCCAATAACTCGTAAGAAAAGAATTATGTGTGCCATGCATCGCAAAACATGGCCTTGCAGCTGGATATTGCTTAGCCAATTATACATTTCTTCTATGAGCCCTAAAATTTAAAAAACATTAAATTTCAATAAATTCAAAGAACAGCAGCAAATTAAATATGCATACATAATAATTAAAATCGATACAAAATCTAAGTAAATTCAAATGTATTCAATTTGCCAGTGTGGAATAATGATTTACTACAGAAATAGCAAAATTACAAGTGCAAACAACCATTGAATCAAAAAATAAACAAAAAAATATGACAGCAGTTTCAGTATCTCCAGACAAATGTATTAAATAATACAGTTCAGTATCAATATGTTGCGGCAGCGCCAAACAGGCGATACAGGCTCAAAAGCTCTGGAGAAAAGCGCCAATTGGCGAAACAGTAAACCTGCTTGACAACCCTATGGGCTGACGGGAAGAGAGATTTTTCCCGGCAGTTCCGGGTAACGACTTCAGTCTGTGTGTGTGCATCTGTGAAACAACTCGGCTTCTGCCTTCCACGTGATATGTAACGCCGATCTGTGGTGGGACTGTACGCTTCCTTAAGCCATTATTATCTATCCATATTACTTCTTCTTATTAAATCTAATTCTTAATGTTAAATGCCTGATTGCTATTTTCTAGGTAAGGTTATCTATACTTTTGTAGGCATGCGTGATGCAAATACATTGCAAAAACGAATTCGTACCCAAAATCACCTTAAACAATTTAAATAAAAGGTTAGGTTATTTAATTACGCCAAAGCCTCGAGGGATATCTGCCTAGGGGGGGATGCCTTCTTGGAGGACTTTCTAAGGGAACTGGCTCGTATACATGTTACACATGGGGAAACTCCCCGAAAACACCCATGCAACCAGTCCGTCCTCGGACCGAACTACCAGTGTTCAGTGACTTTACCACTCGCCTAATTTAAATAAAAGAAAATATTAAGTCATATAATTACTGTGAATGACCGAAACTGCAGAATGTTGACATACACCAGTGAATATAAAATATGTCGGTGAAAGACCAAATATTTGGTTATATTTTTATACATTCAGCCCATCACCAGTGTATGTTCATAAGCACAGATATGCCCTGCTGAAGATTGAAACAAGAAGCCAAGAAGACAGACAGAGAGGCGACAAAAACACCAAATCCTTTGTTCTGCCATGACTGAGATCATGTGGCAACAATTTGTTATATTCTGAAACACTGCTTGTTTGTCAGTCTGCAAGGTTTGCTGGTAAGTGCAGCACTTTCTTTATTTTTTTATCTGATACCCTAATTTATATTGAATGACTACTGCAGTGAACCGTTATCTCCTCCTTCCCGAAAAGATGCATGCATTAATTGTGAGTAACCGAGAAAAATCACTGCTTTCATTTTTCTCAATGAAAGTACTCTACTTTTTGAAGTGATTTCTGGTAAAACTAAATACAGTACACATTTGGATTACAGATGATTAAAATGTTTTGTTGTTTTAAAAATTAATGATGAAGAAAAGTTAATTAATTGTACCATTAAAACTAAGAGAAATGAATAAACAGTATTTATGTTACTAATGACAAACTATTAGAATAGGCATTGGAGGAAGAAAATATATTTTTGGAGAACTGCAAGTTAAAGACAAAAAAATTACATATGAAGTTGTAATGTATTTAAATTTATGTAAACAATGTCAAATGAAACACAGTGCACCTATAAAAGGTACTGTTGTGAAGCCAGTGGTTAATTCAGAGTTAAACTCCAGATGTCAAGTTCATCTGATAAACCAGCAACCACACAGGAATGGAGAATGTAAGTTCATAAACGGTGTATCAGAATTTCATTTGACAAAGTTTATCCAGCTACGACCTTTGAAAAACTAAGAGCTGAAGATGTAACTTTCTTTAAATATTGTTAACATTTGGTGCTCCAGCTATATAGCACTCAGATACTGGAAGGGAATTAATCAAGTAATCAAGTTATAGAACTGGTAAAAAATTGTTTTCCAAAATAAATATTATCGCCAAATTGAGGAATTAGCTGTAGGTAATCCCCCTCAGTCCTGTACTTGCTGACATTTACATGTACTATTTTGAGGTCAAATTATTTCAAAAACTTTCTTTTCGTCTGTGGAGATGACACTTTCACACTTTTTCGTGGTAATCAAGAAGCCTCATACCAAATTTTATCTACAATGAATTCAATTAATCTAGCCATCCAGTTCACTCTTGAAATTGAATCTGGCAATCCACTTCCTTGATATTCTTATAATTTATAGATAAAATTTGGAATAGCTAATCACTGTTAGTAATTTAATCATAATTCTGATTTTAAGCCTGCAAAAATCATTCAAAAAGCTTCTTCAATTGCTGAATTGGATTTTCTTGAGGCTTTTCACATTCACAAAGATTTATCTTGTTTAGTTAATGACTTGAGGTAAAATCCAGTCCTTCCTAACACTTTTAAAATCCTATCAACTTAATATTTTTAATTTCATTACTATTTTTGCCGATAGACAGTACTATATTCTGATTTTGCTTTAGTGTGGAACATAAATATGACCATTACGCCCACTGCTTTGCAGTTTTGAGATTTCTTTCCTTCTAATAAAGAGGGAGTTACGTGTTTACCTTCAAAATCCATTGAGATCCTGACTTAAATCTATGCCAGACTCAAAGTTATTGTGTTACTTCTTTTATGTTTCACTTGGTATGTTTCTCTTCTGCTTTCAATCAAGTTATAGCTGAACTATGTGCTATGTAGAAAGATGTTGAGATAGTTCATGGAAAGCCTCATCATAGTCAAACACAAAGCTCAGGTGAAAGGGCTAATCAGGATATACAGATGTTAACTGCATGGATGAATGATAAGAATACAAACAAATGGTCATGTGGTTTGCCCTTTGTTAAATTTGCCAGGAGATCTACATACTCAGAAGGAATATGCCAAAGTCCTTATGAAGCCCTGTTAGCATTAAATAAATAAACTAAGTCACATTTGAATGATATTAGTTGCTATCTAAATGAACATAAAAAATCTGATGTGACTTCCTTGTACGGAATATTAAATTATACACATTTTTATTGCATTTTATTTAAACTTATTAGATTGAATTAAATCTACTTCGCCGACAGCGCATAAACCACAATAGAATAAATGCATTCTTTAAAATTCACTTTGTTTACTATAGCGACACTCTGGTGCTAGGTTTACTTAACAGTATTATCCTTCATATTATAATTCTGAATGCACAAAATTCATATCATTTAAAGAATTATCTAATCGTTGCCACATGTTCTATTCAAATACTATAATAAAGCTAGAACTATGTATAAAAGAAATTAAGCAAACAAAACAAAAAAAGAAACAGTTTTTCACAGACGATTGGGTATTTCTCATTCGATTAATTCAGTTCTCACTTCGCGAGAAGGCAAAAATACATAAAAACTCAAAATATCTATATTAAAAATTACGAAGTAAATTTCAAACACTTATTTCCTCGAAAAAATTCCAGAAAGCATGATTTAATTGGCAATAATAAATGAATGCGTTATCTTTGTTGTTGCGCAGCTAAGTTTCTCTAGATTGGCAACAAATCCACTTGTCTCCTGTTTCAAATGTAAACATGAATGGCCACCATTAAAAAAAGGCTTAGCGGCAATTAAACAACTTTAAAATTGCTGATAATTCTAAAAATATTGCATACAGATTTACTAAAGACATAAAATCCTTAACCGGAAGATAAAAATAACATAATTCAATCATTTTTAAAGCAAAAAATGTACAATTTACAAACATATAAAAGTAAAGAAACTGAGATCACTGAGCCGGGTAACAGAGTGGATATATATATAAATAATATTTTTATATACTTTGGTGCGGCCGATTGCAACCAACATACGAGGTGCACATCTACATGTTATAGTAGTCTTATATACAAAATTTCAACGTTCTGAGGCTACTCGTTTTTGAGTTATGCGAGATACATATGTACGCACGTACGTACATACGTTCATACAGGCGCCATGAAAAATTCTCTTCAGAATTCATTTTAAAGCAGTTTTTTTTTTTTTTTTTTTTTTTTTGGAGAAGAGTCTTTTATTCTGTCCTTATGTACAGATATCATGCAAAAACATCCTTAAATTGCATTCGAAAGTGGTCAAAGTGGATATTTTCGTTGAAATATGCTGCCTGAAGCTTTTGGCGATTACAATACTTCCTTTTTACTTTGTACAAGGAAGTAAAAAGAGGCATAATATCCTCATTTATGCAAGCAAAATGCAAACATTGAAACTGAAGAATAGCTCAAAGAATCTGTTAATACTTTTGAAGAAAATCTGAATGGTGGCCATACTGAAAACCATATTCCAAAAGAAAATATTAAAGAGGAGCTGCAACTTACCTCATCTTCATAGCAAGCCCTGAGTGATCAATGCCATTTTATTTCTATAAAAAGTGGGCCACAAAATAGAATCGTCTACTGCAAGCAATGAAAATGTTATGAAACTCAAAAAGAAAATTTCCTCCTGCTCAAATGGGTGATACCAGACAAATGCAAGTCCCTGATCTCGACTGCAGTCAGACACATGCATGAAATGTGTTGGCAGTTGTTGTTGGAATAAAAGACCCCAACTTTGATAAGTCAGCAAACAAAAATGGTACCCTTAAGCAACTTTATACCTGTAATCAGTTTGTAATTTGTAGAGAAAAGTTACATTCAAGAGATGTGAAATTGCATCTAAACTTTCTTCTACACACTCCATTTCTTAAAGAAATGTCCCTCAATGAAACAACTGCAACTAATTAGAGAAGTTGAAGGCAAGACTATACATGCTGTCATTATAATAAGATGTGTTTCATGACTAAATGCAGTTGTAAAAGCAAGGGACTCTTCAGCAAGTTAAAGTTAACTGTTAACATAACAGTTTAAGTTGTTGCAATAAATAAGAGTGTATAACATCAATCACATAATTATTAAGTTTATAAGTGTTATTTTCTTTTCCATTTAGAATGTATTGTTCGTTTTAAGTTTACATGTTTACATTTTGTTTACATGTGCTGTTATTTAAGCTTTCTCCTATTTTG